CCCGGAACATGCCACTGGTATAATGCATTGGGGGCGTCTTCCCCTGAAATATATATTATGTATATAGGATAAAATAATGCCCATATATCTCCTGAAACAAGATCTTAAGAAATTAAAAAAACAGACTTAAATATACGTCTTTCACACATTATTTAAGATTAATTCTCAATTGTTAATTTATATACATTTTATGTCATTAATTAACATAGTTATTGAATATATTTTGACCTTATATAATACATTTCAACCAGTCTTCATAACTTCTGCCTGTCGGTCCGATTCGCTTTTTTTTTTTAAATGCATGACAGCCTGGAACTGATATCAAAAAGAAAATTGATTTGTATATTCCTCTGTCAAAAATCATGTAAAAGAAAAGCAGGCAGGAGACTTTGCAAAACCCATGCTAAAACCAGCCCCTGAAATTGACTATGGAAATGAAAAGACAAACAGTTAAGAAGATGCAACATTGAAGCAGTATTCTTCCATTTTTGTCACCAGGCTGCAAATAATTTTTTTCAAGGGGAATGTAAATGCAAGCACTTAGGAGATAAGGTTTCTAAGATCTAGTGCTTGCTTGTTAAATTGTGCTGGGAGAAAAAGCTTTAAAAATTTAATTTTGATTCCTTCCTCCCCCCTCCCCTGCCTTCCCCTCCCCTATCTTCTGGAGAACAACCACCATTCAGTGTAGTTTAAAATTTTCTCAGACCCTGCTGCCCATAATAATTTAGATTCCTCATCTGCTACTGAAATGAGTCACTGAAAACAAAGTAGCCTGCAGCCTCATTAATCAGGCTGTTGTTTTATACCACATCTTCTGATACTCTAGTGCCATCTAGGTTACTTTCTCTGGCTTACATGTTGTTATACTCTGCTTTTCATAGGATCCCAAGGTCCATCCCTTGAATCCACAAGCAATGGCAGACACAATGCCTCATCACCCAAACTTCCCAACACAGAAGAGCTCACTCGGCCTATTTCTCCAGACAGTCCTGAAATCATCAGTGAACTGCAACAATATGCAGAGGCAGCGGCTGCCCGTGAGTCCAAACACAACTCTCCTACCACCAACACTACACCTGGACATCCCACTCGGAAAGACAATGCAGCCCATTCAACAGCTCGTGGAACTGAGCAACGAGTAGGGACCCATGGTTTGGCTTCTTCAACAGCCTTGCCAGCCACCAGTCAAAATGTTGATAGCCACTCAGTGCTGGACTTACGAGGCAACAAGCGTAAGTCAACTTCACCATCTGGTCCAGATGAGCAAGCCCATCGCCAGCAGAAGAAACGCTCACTGCCAACAACAGGTCAACCATATGAAAGTGGGTACCCTGTCTCTGGTGGGTTCACCATGCCCTCTGTCCCTTTAAACCACAACTTAACCCATCCATTTGCTCCCCAAGCAGGCAACCCGTTGTACATGGGCACAGGCTCCTCCTATTACCAGCTGCCTAGCTTGCTATCAGATCCTCATCTGGTGTTCCCTGTGACTACTGACCCTCTGCTGACAGCGGGCACTGCTAGTTCTTCTGCTGCTACCTCAGCCACCGCCAGCGTCCCCTCTTTCATGTTAAACCCCTCCATGACGGGGATGCTCTCCAACTATTCGCTGCCCTTCTCACAGTCACTCCTGCCTGAGCCCAGGATGTTTGCTCCTTTTCCAGCCCCTGTCTTATCAAGCAGCCTTCCCAGGAGCATGGCATCTGCCTATCCTGGCTTCATGTCACCTCACGCGGGATATCCAGCGGGGGGCCTCCTTCGGTCTCAGGTGCCTCCATTTGACACCCGTGAGGTCTCTGAGGTGGGCTGCAGCTCCAACGAGGATGAGGACAAAGATGATGATGTAATAGAAATCACAGGGAAGTAATGGGCCTAGTCACTTCTTTTAGATTGCAACTCAGTCAGGAGGCAAAAATTCCTCGCTGGACCTTTCTGGGGTCAGGATTTTATATCTAGAACACACAGCAGAAGTGGAGGAAGAGGTTGGAAAGGAAATGGCATGTTTAGTTGTCAAAGATCTGCTTTGTATGGGAACTGAATTGAATGGACACCCCTCCCACAGGAGTGGGGAGAAACAAGAGTTGGGCAAGGGAAGTATCACTGCAAACCACAGGAGTGCCTCCTTGACTTTCCCTCCCATGCTGTCTGTGTTGTCCAAAAGGAAGACTTGCCATTAATATTTCAGTGCCCTTTGTTAGACTGGAGACATTGGGCTGATCTTTTTATTTTCCTTTTGTCTGTGGAATAACACTCATACACAAACGGCCTTATCTGAGAAAGTTCATTGTCCCATGATCAAAAGCGGGAGATTTGTGCCCTAAGAAACCTGAGGATGAATTGCATTCTTAATAGAGGGAGGGAGGTGGGAAAGGAAGGAGCAGGCAATGTGTCATATGTAGGTGGGAGGGAGTGGGTGGGGCAGGATCTGTGTGAAAATCAATTCTTCATCTTTCTGAACGTTCAAGACAAATTAGTCTAGTGCCCTTCATCCAGGCCCTTGGGAAGTGGTGGCGGGAGTTGGGAAAATGGGGAGCAGATGTGGGTTATCCTACCACCTTCCTCAAGAGATATGTTTGAAGACAAGGGGAGGGCCATTGTGGGTCAGTTTCTTCTGGCTTCTTCAGCATCATTGGGTTAGGACTTGTGTCCATCATTTAGTGAGGTAGTGCTTGATGGAGAAATGTTAAGGCTTCTCCCAGTTCCCCATCTAGCTTTTTGTAGTGATTACTCTCCTGCTGCTCCTCCCCCTTTGAAGCGATGATGAGCCTGCAGGACTGGCAAAAGAAACGAGCTGTCAGGTTCCTGTTGACCAGAATGAAGCGGACCTCCTACGGAAGGGATTTGCTTGAGCTCCTTGTACCTGTTGCCAGAGTTTTTATTGACACTGACTGGATGATCTCCCTCCTCCATAGAACTGTTGTGTTAATTTATTTCATGAAAGCGAAATATTTATTGGGGAATTATTTCCTGCTTCTTCCTTGCTAAAAGCAGTGAGGTTGTTTATAGTTGTGGCCTGTACGAGAAAGACATAAAGCGACAGGTAGATTGCTTGACAAATGCAGAGGTGTTGTATAGGGCCAAGGCAGAATTACCCCCACCCCTGTGCTTCATTGCGGAGACTGGGGGCCAGGGGCCGGGGCATTATTTGGCTAGAGCGGTGTTTAGTCTCTGGCTCTTTCCCTTGCAGCGGGCAACAGTGAGGTTGATGTTAAAGTGGCTCTCTCATCAGTTGGAGACATGGATTTTTAAACTAGGTTCCTGCCATTCCAGTGGTTCAATAGTAGAAAAGCTAAAGCTTTGCAGAGGAAAGTCCCCTCTATATTGTTGCTAGTATCTGGCCCAAGTTTATAATATGTTGCCGTAGAAATGTGGAAGGAGAAGCCATTTATTTTCACAGAAGGCTTAACAATAGAAGGAAGTTGCAGAGATTTGGCATAGAAATCAACATCTGCCTTCCTGTCTATTGTGCAGGGAAGGGGGATGGTGGTATCTCTGGGGGTGACGGAATGGTACTCCCCGTTTGTCTTTAAAAGATTGCACTGGGTAAATCAGTGTTGTCAGGTATTGCCATTCCAAGGAAAAGGGATGAGGCACTTGCACACTCACGGCAAGACGTCAGCGAGAGCGTTGCCAAGAATGCCTTTCCAGGATAATGGTTCAGATCCTGTGCTCACCTTATCTTTGTTGTGTGGTTGCTGCAAAGAAGACAGTGGTTCCACAGAAGTGGCTAAAATTGCCAGACCCCCCTGAAAAACTCTCTCTTTCACGCATCATACCTCTCCATGGAAAGTTTGAACCCCACATGATTGGAATGGAGGCAATGTGAGAATTGAGCCTTTGCTCACCCTACAAAAGACCTACCAAACCCCTTAGTTAAAGAGGTGGTGGCTGTTTGTTTTTCAGATTGTGAGTCAGAAATGATTCTGAGAGAAAGCTCTATGTGAGTATGGGTATGAGTGTGTGTATGTGTATACTTGTATGTACCATTAAAAAGCATGTAAAGTTGGGCTTTCTGACTATCTTTTTCTGCTAATTGGGCACTGCCTGTCAGGCCTAACTTCACCATTTGTAGAAGCCTTAGATTTAAAGTTAGCTATGCAAATTACTTTAATTATTTTAAAATAAAAACATTAAAATAGTGCTTTCTTCTTTAACATATCCTAGGAGTTGAAAACCGAGGGGTTCTGAGCAAACTTCTGGACAACTTGTCTTTGGATGCACCATGGGATTAAAAAAAAACACACAAAACACAAACCCCCACAAAAATAACAAAGCAAATTAACTGATGGTGTCCCTTCGCGTTTCTCCAAAGACTTGGCCTTGGTACGTCTGTGAGTCATGCCCTTTTGTGATTTGTATGTGTCCACCTCACGCAAAATATGACGGCACTGATTGTACTGTAAACTGCAACTCTCTAAGTTGGCTCGGGAACGGGATATAGGCCAGGGGGGCTGTGCCTGAGCAGCTAGAAGGCAGCATTTTTGGAGCTAAGCAATTTTTGGCGAAGGATTTTTCTGTTCCTTCAGGGTTCAGGCAGACCCAATATTCAGTATAGTGTGTTTTGGGCAGCAGAGCTAACCTGAATAGTCCTCCTAGCTCCTGTCTTGACTTTCATGGAGTAACGGAGCAGACAAGACAAGCTAATACGTTTTGGATACTGTTAACTTCCGACTGCTGCTTTCTGATTCTCTTGTCTCTTTCGAACATCGTACGAGAGCGCAGGAAGAGTCACCAGACTTGGCCGGCTTTGAGGACATCCTTTCTGTAAAATATGGGATGTTGGATTAGGGGAATAGATGCCGCTGTGATTAAGTAGACCAGGCTCTATAGTCATCTTTTAAATAGGAAAGGGAGATATGGTATTAGCTGTAGGAAATGGTGTGCACCTGTAACTTACTAGTCTGACCACTGGATGGCAATGTTGCATCACTTGGATTCTTATTAGATTTAACAATACAATATTTTGAAAAATTGGCTTTTGTACTTGGTTAAGAAAAGTATAAAAATGTTAAATCTGACTGTGCACATCTTTCTCTTTCCCTTTCTTTCTTTTTCTTGTTCTTTCTCTCTCTCCCCCTAACATGTTTATGTTAGTGGAATGTTGAACATAATTGTACCACTGACAAGGTCCATTCTCATTCCCTCTCCCTCTCCCTCTCTCTCTTACACACACACACACACACACATTCATTTAGACCAACCACTTTCTGTAAACTTTGGAAAGAAACACATTTGGGGCAGATTCCTTTACTTCAGCAAGTGCCTGACCTGTGTCTCCTTCCTAATAATAGGGGTTTAAATGTACTTGGTCTCCTAGAGATTAAAATTCATTCCCAGCACTTGCCAAGAGAGAACAGTATTGCCATTGGCAATGAAGACTGCATTCTTCTGCTTTGCACCCTTCTTGCTTCTAGATAGCATAAAAAGTACCCTCTTTCTCAATTATGAATTCTCCCACGTATGCAACATCCTTAGGAAGGTGTGGCTTCTAGAAACAAAGGGTGGCTGTTGTGCCTTGTTTGTGAAGGACAGAGAATGCTTGACATGGGAGCGGAGTCAGAACAGCATAGTGACTTGTGTAGTACGAAGTTGGAATGGTCCCTTCCTTGATGCACTGTAATTCCCAGGAATGTAGTGGCTGCTCGGAAGCCGTGTACGTGTTGTGAGATCTCTGAATTTCACTTTTTCTTTTATCTCCAGTATAATTTCTTTCCTTTGCTGGCTTTTTGTTAGATCTATTTGCCAGGGCCTGTGCAATTTGCACTGCTAAATTTCAGACCACAAAAGAAAGGAGGAGGGAAACGTGTATTCAGATTTTGCAGGTGGAGCTGAGAGACGTCTAGGTGTGCTTGGCCAAGGCCTTGGAATGCTTAGGAAGGTTCTTGCCTTCCATCTTTGGACTTTCCTTGACAGACCATATCCTGCAATATTCTCTGCGCTTTAGAGCAACAGTACTGTACCAAGTTGGCATGGTACAAAATAAAACTTGACCCCTTAATAAATGCTTTGGGTAAAGAGGTGACCTTAAACTGTGATATTTTCCAGACCTTGCTACTATGTTCAGTTTTATTCCAGTTCTGGCAGTATACAATTTAAAACTGACAAAGATCATCTTGTTTAGACACAAATTTCCTATGATGAATCATTTTTTTGGTGGGCACAACACTGGAGGACCTCTCCCCAACCATGTTAAGAATTGCCCATGTGTCTGCATGCTAATTACTGCTCTCCATCTCCGTGTGATCAAGAGACGGAAATGAGGAGAAGCTCTATCACGAGAGGGCAGGTTTGATATTAAAGTGCTCCTACAGTATTGCGTTCTGTGGGACAAAGTTATATGGACATATAGAGGACAGTTTGAGGAGGAAAAAATCTGACCACAGCCCCAGCCAAGGAATCCCAGGAATACGCAAGCCTCCTCTCTTAAAATAATGGTCTAATGATTGTTTCAGAGAAAGCTGACTTATATTGCGCTATCCGAATTATGTGACTGAATGACAGCAGTGCAAAAGTTTCTTGCAAGATCTCAAGTCAAATGAAAATCTACTAGTAATTACATGTATTTGCACTGAAATCTTGGTTGAGGCACTGTAGATGTAATTATTAAACTGGAGAAATGGTTGATCTTGGCTCCATTAAACCGAGGGAAATATACACCAGTAGATTAAAACAAAATCGTGTCTTATTTCTTTAATACCAAAACCATATTATATTAAGCCTAGGGATTTATAAGGACATTTTTAGACCTTGTGGGAATGTTTGCTCCTTGTAACTCAAACAGGAAAGCAGTTTCTGTAGAAAGTAGGAAAGATATTTGCAAGTTTAGGGAGGATCAGCAGAAATAGAAATTGAGAGCTGGCAGAGAGGGAGAAGGAATCTTTTTTTTTTTTTTTTCTTTTTGTGCTCTTTATTGAAACTAAGACCACTAACAGCTGCCCACAG